ATTAAGGTTTATGATGAGAACGTGATACAAAGATGAAAGATACATATATGATTAATATATTTTATAATAATTATAAGTAAACGTTTATTTATTTTTTTTATTTTTTTTAAATCCAACCGCTACCGCCCGCAACCGCAAACGCTTGCGGGAAGAAGCTTTTGAAATTCAGCGATTTCGAGCGGTATAGAGCGGTTTCTATGATTGGTACCAACCGCTAACAACCGCAACCGACCGCTAGCAACCGCTAGGAGGGTGCTAGCGGGAGAACCAATCAAACCCTAAGATCACATCAAATATTCTCTTTATAGGATCTGTGATTCTCGAGAGGATAAAGTTATTCACACGATTCGGTTATGGCCCGTATTGTCCCGATTTCTGTGGAATACGGCCCATATTGTCATGATTCTCACCGATCGCGGCACGTGTCGATATATCCTAGAGTCTTCTAGAATATTAACAATTATTTTTCCTATTTACATAATTCTAACATATTTATGATATAATTTCTATAGTATAATTTTGATGGTTAAAATTACACCCAACAGAAAATATGACATTGAATATATCGAAATGGCAATGCCCCTGATTTTATCATTTATAAGTATATCATATACTTATATGCAAGTAACACTTGGTGTCTCATCCATTAACCCAACGATTGACTATCTTATTTCGAGACAAAGCATTGGTTCAATCATGCAAAATCTACCTTATCTATAGCTTTTCAGTTAATTAAATGTAAATCCATTTCTTTCTTACAAAAAAAATATATTTGATATATCATAGTTACGTCATATGTTTTTTGTTCCGAGCCTTGTCTCTTTCAAGATGAACGACCAAAAACTCCAATATGACCAAGCTTTTTGACGCATTTCGTTCATAGAATACTGATCCATTCTCTTTTCATGAAATATATGTTTTCGATCTTGTCCATTTGCAAATACTTTCTAGTCCACTAACTTGAGTTGGAATTGTATTAATATATCAACTTGCCTGTTCTTTCCATTTTAAAAAAGACCAAATAACTATTTTACAATATTATCAAAAGTTAGCAAAAGAAATTAACAAAAAAAAAAAACAAAGTGAGCAATATACCAAAATATATATATAGTTGGTGAACCGGACTTTAGGGACGTCTCGAAACTACTTTGAAAACATTATCTATCACAGATGAAATTTGTAGTGTTTAAGCGTGATCAATCAGTAAAGTGAATTACGATGAATATATTTGACAAAATCATTTCATAAAGTTGCACTCAATTTAAATGTATTTATTCTTTTTACCAGGGTGTTTGTTTTTCTTGTTTTACATTTTTAATCTTAAATATTTTTATACGGGTAAACCATTTAACAAAAAAAAACATTCTTATACAGCTATTCTTCTAAATTATATAATTTTGTTTTTGTCTTTGTTTTTGTTTTGTTCTAAGAATTTGTATTCAAAACAGTTCAATTGATTTTAATTTCCTGCCACAATAAAGAAAAAAACCAATAATCATTATTTATCTTAAATAATTTTTTTTTGACAAAAATAAAATAATACTATTATTTACCATCATGACAAGCTCTTTCTAAAATTCTATATTTTATATTCTATATTCTAAGAGTATTTCCATAGATTATGTGGTATATTTGGAAGGCGCGAAATCGAAAGGTTTTCGACATTTTGAGCGAACCACCTCAGAAAACTCTAAACACTGTAATTCAAGAAGAAGAGGCATGGAGGCAAGCAAACCAGCGGGAAGATCCCCAGCCAGTGAGGAGTGCTGCTTTGCAAGTAGCGCCAATTTCATCGGATAGGCCGGTTTGCTACATTGATGGGTCATGGCATGGGGCGGATTCTAGAAGCGGTCATGGTTGGACTGTTTTGCTTGGAGGAAGAGTGGTACAGTTAGGACTCTTAGGGATCAAGAAGAAGCCTTTCCCCCCTTCATGCCGAATTGGATACTCTCTTGTAGTCATTGAAGTGTTTAGTAGCAATCCCGTTGACTAGTATCTTCTTTCTGACGAATTGTTCGGATTTTTTAGCGATGACTTCTAACCCCGACGAATGACCTACTTTTTCTACAGAATTGAGGAATTTTGTGTATTACATAGAATTGTTTTCTATACTTTTGATATTAAGTATATCTCTCGTAGTGAAAATACCTCCGCTGATCATTTTGTAAAATGTGCAAGAGTTCGCACGTTCTGTTTTTCTCATATAAGTTCGACGATTTTCCGATTGGCTCTCTCTAAAAAAGAGTTTATATATGTGAATTAATATATGGAGTTTGAGTGACAAAAAAAATATTGGTCGTTGATCTGTTTGTGGGCAAATTTGGAGTATACCTCTTCGGAACGTTGTTACGTCAATAAATACGTCTTTTACTGTATATATATATTTTTTTAAATAGTACTTCAACCTTATCAAAAAATATATAAAAAATATCTTAATATATACTCAATTTTAGATACTTTGTAGAAAGACTATATAAACAAAACATGATATTTGATGTCGTAAATTCAATAATTTTGATGTCATTGATCAGTGATCAGTGACGGAGTCGTTTGGTCAATAAAGAGTATCAATGTATAACCATAACTACTTTTTACGTATTCCTTTATATATTAAAAAAGAGTATATATAATGGTTTTCGACTTTAATTACTTTTAAATATATTTGTTATGCATGAATTATTAAGCGGTCGAAATCGGATTCGGATGCTAGGTGATTCTGACATGTGTTTATGCATGCTTTCTTGCTAAAAGATAAGAAACTCTCGTGGGGTTCGCCATGCAATTAAAAGTGCGAAGCCATAAATATAAATTTAGCCAACGCACCCCACGAATTAAGTAACCACGAGACAATTTCAAACATATTTTATTACACCATATATTATCGTCTTTTTCACTAATTTTATGTATTACTAATTTAACCCTTTTTTGGATAAAGCTCACACTAATTCCGTAATTATGAACCACTACAAGGTGGGCTAGTGGTAGGACGGATTTCGTGGTTGAGGGGGTAATCCCAATACGCCCGGGTTTGATTCCCCCTTGCTACATACTAGTGGCCATCAGGGAATTTACATGCGGACTTGCTCTGGCGCCCGACATCGAAGACCGTTACCTGGCCATGACCCATCTTCGGGTATGCGTCCATGCCGTAAGGGTTCGATCTCTAGTCTGGACCACCTCGGTGGGGCCAGGACACTCGGTTATCAAAGAAAAAAAAAAAATCCGTAATTATGGCTGCAGCTACTATATAAATTCTTTTTTTTTTTTGTTTTTCATCAATGATGTTATTACCTTTTCATTATATATTGGTAGTATGTGATAGGAATATATATATATATATATATATATATATATATATATATATATATATATATCGTCACGAAAATGTTTTTTTTTTCTAGTCACGGACTCTCGCCGTCAATTTCATGCAACAAATGTAGAATTTAAAACTTAACGTGAATCTTGATTTGAATATTTATGATTACAAAACTTAACAGGTGGTACAAAAATTAAAGATTACAAACAAAATATTGCAGCAAAATAAAATATTCATGATTTGTGAATTTATTTAATAAGAATGACGTGGAAAAGAAGCTCGTCATGATTACACATTCCAAAGTGTAGTTGTGGGTGTTACAATATCTCAGTAGCCATTAGTTATCATGACATCATTCTAGTCAAAAAAAACAACATGACAAAACTGAAAGCAACAAAAACCTTAGCACATAAATGGTTATGGTGGAATGAGGAATTAATGACGAAAACGCGGGAAACGTCTCTGAAAAAAAAACTGGCGTGCCTTTGAAAATTTAATGGAGATTCAAAAAAGTTTATACTAATTACGTAAATAAATTTTTTGGAATATTTGAGTTTGGACATCTCAAAGGTCGTAGCCTCGTAGGCAATATTGTTTGATGGAGTTGAGGAAAGTGAAAATAGTGAAAAATAAAATGATGATCTTAATGTATGATCACTTTAAACAAAGTTATGATTTTATTAAGAAACTTTAAAACAAAGAAGAAAAAACCATGCTTTATAGCGAGCACTTGGTAGAGACCCGTTGTCGTTTAACGATGCGAGATTTATATATACTCCCTTGTTCCTACATATTTAGTGTTCTAGAGTTTTACTTTGTTATACAAAATTTAATTTTTTAAGTTTTTGTTTTATTTTTTATTGATTAAAATTAATATATCGTAAACTTCAAGACGTAATGATTAACTGTTTTTTAATATTATTGATTCAAAGTTATTAAAAATATTTAGTATAAAAAAATAATTGACAAATAATTAAACAATGATTACTTTTTAATATATGTGAAAACTCTAGAACATCAATTTTTTAGGAACAAAGGGAATACTAAAGTACTTATCATATAGTTCCTGATTTGATGACTGCTGAGTCAGAGTCATCATGTATATATTTGCATATTATGTGTGTTTTCGATATGGCTTTCACTTCTTTCGTGTGCCATTCCTCAGCAGTATTATAAAGAAAAAGCAAAGCAATAGCGATTTCTTTTTCTGGTGGGTAATGATTTATAAATAAAGAAATACTATTTATTAAAGTTTAAACATATATAAATATATAACATGAAAAATATAAAGTAAGAAGAAGGCATAGTAGCCCAACATATCCTGTACTCGCCTTTAAGGAAAAAAAAAATATTTTTTGATTTTGTTAACGTTTGCAATAATTTCATATTTACAGAACAAAAATTGAAATAATGTTCATAAATTGTGAGTAATTGACCGTTTATTAATATGATTCTCATAAATAAGGCCGACGTCAGAACACTTCACAGTTCACACAATCCACGAGAAGTCGAGAATCGAATTATGTTGAAACTTTGATCAAACAAAACTGAGTTAGTTTTGTGATATTTGATATTATTATAACTAAATCATTTAAATTAATTAAATGGTCTATTTACATTTACTGTGGATTTGCTAAACTAGATATCTGTCAAATTATGCAGATTGAATCATTCTTTGAGTCAATTAAGGTCAAATTTGATACTGTTTATTCATATAAACAAATTACAATATCCAAATGAATCCCGCAACATTAAAATCCAAAAAAGCTAAACGTTACAATACAAGTGATGAATAGTCCAATAAACAATCAAAACGATCATTTTCTCTTCTTCATATTTAATTTCTGAAGACATATCGATCATTCTAGTTGAACAAGAGTGTTTAGAGCATGATTAACAATGGTATCTTAAAAATGGTTCTTAGAAGTATTAAAGTAATAATATGACATGTGGTTGGTTCTTAAGGTTAGTTTTGGGTCTTAGCTAAACCACTTTTCTTAGTTTTGGGTCTTAGCTAAGCCATATTTCTTATTTAAGAACTCTTTAAGATATCCTTGTTAATGGTGGTCTTAGAGAAGTAGATCAAGGAGTCATCGGTATAACCAAAAGCTGGCCCATGTTAACATTTGTACGGCCTTCCTCTTCCTTTTCTTCTTCCACCGTATTAGTAGGCAACTTCATGATCTTACACTCTTTTATTTGCTTACTCCTACTCCATAAAAATATGTATAAACCGATCACAACCACCACAGATCCGATAACGCTGCAACAACAATAAAAATTTTAGTCCATAACATGCACATGATATAGTAATTAAGGTGTTTATAGAGTTTAATTATATACTAAATCTAGATTTTTAGGATATACCTTCCCAAATAAATCACACGATGAAGAATCAAGAAATCGAACAAGGTTGCAGACATAAGTACGACAGGACTAAATGATGAGGAAACGACAGGTCCTTGTTGTTTGATACACCACGATATGCCCACCGTACACATTCCTTGTGCAACCACGCCCTATAAACATATATAACCAAACAATAGATCAATATCTATCGTGGTTCGAAATTATTAATATGTCGACGAAAAATTGTCTTATATATATACCGCTATAATGACGGTGATGATGGTTAGCTCGTCTCTGAGGATCCAATCTTCCAAATGTCTAGTCTTGATTAAACTAAGAAGGGCGCATTGAAGTGTACCAAAGACCGACAAAATAACGGTACTCGAGTATGGACAAGGGTAATTCACGTTGATCTTGGCTTGTATAAGCATCCAAGAACTGAAAAGAATAACTCCGGTCAATAAAAAGAAACAACCTTTGATCCAATTCTCATGTCCTGTGTGGTTGTTTGGATTTTCTGCTTGTTCTTGAGAGTTTGTTAGTGGAATGCCTTGATACATAGTAAGAAGTAAACCTCCTACTAAGCTTATTAAAGTTCCAAGAACGACGCCGTATCCTATTTTTGTTTTCAAAGTTAGCTTTTCGAACCTGCAAATATTTTTATCACAATATTTAGGCGTAAGATTACACTTGAAATGATGAAAATTTTATTTATATTGACCTTTTTTTATAATAATTAGTACCCAAATATTAAAGCCATAACGAAAGTGAGAGAAGGCATTATGGCCCAGAAAGCAGATCCCAACGTTGCAGACGTGTAGGAGAGTCCAAGCAGGTAGAAATACTGCATCAAGCTCGCTCTGAAAAAGAAAGATTATAATAAAAGATTATATATATATATATATATCTTACATAGAAAAACAAATAAAAACAATAAAGATTAATTAGTGGATTAAAGCCGAAACTTACCCAAAAAGGGCACTGACGAAAAGCTGACATGAGATGCTTAGAGTTAGCTTTGGTCTTGTTTTTCTGAACAAATCATGAGATCGAATATTTATTTTGTTCGGCACACACAATTCTGATTCCATATCCGTTCATAGAAAACATTCATAAAATTCTCGAATAATTTTACAAGTTAATTTACAATTGTTTTATGAAATAAATAAAATAAAATAGAGTAATTAATTAACGAGAATTATAAAAGAAAATAGATAGAGATGAAGCATCAAACGTTTTATTTTCGTCATCTTTTAAGTAACAAAAATTCATTTTTTTTTTTAAAAACACTGCCCTGAACTTTTAAATTTTTTGTTTAGTTTATTAAGCTAGGAAAAGAAATTTGAAACAAAAAAAAAAGAAGTAAACATACCGTTCCCAAAAATAAGCGATTGGAAGAAGGAAAAGAGTAGAAATACCCAAACGATAAGTAGCAATAACCATATGATTAATGCCTCCATCAAGAACTTTCTTAATCAAAGCGTTAACCATTCCGGCAATCATGTTAGTAACAATTATGACGATCATCGGTGCCCACTTTCCATCGATAAAACCCATGATTAGTATAAGTTAATTAACTAGTATGTTAATTACTTAATAACCAAAATGATCTCTCTCTCTTTGTCTCTCCCCGTCTCGCTCTCTCTCTTAGCTTTTACTCTCTGCTGTCTCTCCTTCAGAAACTTGTTTGAGTAGTGAAGCCTTAAGACTAGGGTGGATATATTTATAATTATCATGAATGCTGAGTTGGAGCCCATTTATATTTTAAGAACGACTAGATAATGACTTCTTTTATAACTATGAAACATTTTTTTTTAACTGTGTATATAATATGCTGTTTTTCTTGGTGGAAGAGATTAGTAGTCATATATTTATATATGTAACTGTGATGATGTATTTATTGCATATATATATATATATTGACTATATATTTATTATAAACTGTGCTGGGGCATGAATGTAATAGTATACGGATATGTAAAACTAATATAACAAAAAAAGAACAAATATAACTAAATACTAGGAAATATAAAACTAATACAACTACCAAGTAAAGTTTAGTGGTGTAAGAAATTTATAATTAATTTATCTCAATATGTAAAATATGGAAATATATAATTAATTAAAAAATATGTAAAATGAATTTAAGTAAAAACTAAAGAACTGTAACTAAAGATATAAAATTAAATTGATAATATGAAAAATTAGATTTTTGTTTTCTTTTTCTTATGCAACTAGAACTCACACAAATACTCACACAAAGCGTTACTAATGTATATACACTAACTTACTAACCCCGGTCCAGTTTGCCGTCAACATTTCTTATTATATTTATCAAACTATGTAGCACTAATCGAATTAACAATTCTTTTGTATTTGCTCACGTTGTTAATTACGAGTTCAGTGTAATCATTTCAACCAAATATAAAGATGAATAAAGCTCAATCATTGATTCATATCATCAAATGAAAGCAAAGTTGCCTTTGTACCGAACAAGGTATAGTTTTAATGAATTAATATTTTCCCAAAAAAGAAGAAAATTATAATTTAAAACATACTTTAACTATCTCTAAACTTTTATGTTACGACACCTTGTAAATTAAGAGTACGCCAAATTCCTTTTCTGTTTAAAATTTACTACTATGTAAGCTTATTTATAATAAGATAATCAGATAATCCCTTTTTGTAAATAACAGATTTTACTAGCTCAAATTAGGGGCCAAACAGCAAAAAAAAGCTAAAATTATGTATGTAAATTAAGTCCTAATAAAACTATTAACAAAACAATTTTTTTGAACTTTTATCAACCAAACATTATATTAAAAGAAAACTCTTTGATTGATTATCTAAGTTCGACAAAATAAGTTTATAAAATAATTCAATAAATTTTATTTTAGAAAATAAACTAGACACTCTAGCTCCCCTGAATGGTATATTTAAAAAAACAAAAACTTAAAGAAGCAAGTTTAAAACGGGGATGTGCCTTTAGTCAAGTGGTTAAGTTTATTTGACTCCGCCTTCCCCACAAGAGTTCGACTCTACTAAGTCGCGTTATCCCGCGTAGTAGGAATTGGATATGGATCGGACCTTGTCGATCCAAAGACGTTAAAAAAAAAAAAAAAAAAAGAAGCAAATTTAAAACTAACCGAACTTGTCTTAAATAGTTAAATGTATGGAAAACCCAATCGTCAAGGGATTGAGTAGTCCATCTAAATTCTGGCAGTCTATTTTTTGATCAAAAATAGTCGACATACCCAATAAAAATTATAATTTCCGAGTGACAATGTGACATGTTTCATCGTTAACATCTAGCACTTAGAAAAATGTTCGGTTGTCCCTCTTATTACAATTCAAACCCAAACCAAGATAGAATCTGTATTTTTCCCACGATTCGTCTATTTGACATTTCATAAATGGATTATCACTTTCTGCATCTCCTGAAATACAGTAGGCTAAAGGGTATTTTGTGCTGCATTAGTAGCATTACCAGCGGAGAATTCACTTAATGCATAATTTATAATCTCCGATGGTTAATGGTTTCAACTCTTTAATTTTATTTTTTTGGTTCCTTACCTCCCAGATTAACCACAAAAAAAAAACATTTACTACTATTTAATTTGCATCAAAACGATCACCCAACTTTGTGGTGAAGGACATTCAAATAACATATGTAAAAAAAAAAAAATGAATAACGTTTCTTCCACCGGTCCACACATATTTGAAATTTTTTATTACAATTAATTTTTGTTATGACGCAACCGGAAGTTAATTGCCAATAAACTTGTGGCCATATGTCAAATAAAATGTTTTAATTTTGGAAAACAATGGATTTTCCAGATCATACTTTTAAAGCATTAAAATTTTGTCTCCTAACATTTTAGGTATTGCACTTGTAATTCCTAACATTTCATTTTATATGATATTTACCCACTTAGTAAAAAAAAAAAAAAAAAAAAAAAAGGTAAAACTCGTAAGTAAACAGAGCAAACCATTATTTAACAATAAATTCCCCAAATTCAGTGAAATGCCATATATAGCTATAATGTCTATATAAGTGTAAGCCACTACCCTACCCACGAGTAAAATGTGTATCTTGTCATATCCATAAACTATTGAAAAATATATTTTATTTGAGAGGTATTTTTAGTCAAATGGTTAACGGTATTTCACCAAAGTTTGATTCAAGCAAATCGGGTTGTCTCGAGTTTTAAAAATTGGTTTATCGACCCAAATAAAATGTTAAAAAGTGTTTTTCATAATAATAAAGAAATTCACAATTTGCTTTATATATCATATATATATCACACTATGAATCCAAAATATTTTTACTAAATCAAAACTAAAACCAATGTATCTCTCTATAGCTTACTTTTTTGGGATACAAGGGAGAAAATAAACACAGTACTACGTTTCTTCAACTAAACATCGATAGAATACTGTGGTGTATTTTCGTTGGTACTGCGACCGTCAATTAAGAAAATGGTACCATATAATTCCTTGGAGAGCTGAATAGTAAAAATGAAGGAAAATGGTTTCGTCTAATTAAATTAATCTGTTATTTGTTGAAAAAACGAAATAAATGAAATAAGATTGATGAATGAGGTAAAACTTTTAGAAAGCAAACCAGTGATCTCTTGATGTGGTGATCATTTACGGTGAGAATATATATTCGAGGAATTTGTAGGTTTTATCTGATCATGATTCGAATCAGATACCTTCTTCAGCTCAAGCCGATCAGCTGTATTCTACTAGATTATTGGGACCTCTTGATGGTGATCGATAACTAAATGTGTTGGCAATGTGGATATGGTACAAAAAGGTTGAGATGCCATTTGAATCTTCTAATTCGGTTGTTTGATTATGACCTTCGAGAGATGCTTCTAGCTGTAGAGATTTCTTGACAGGAGGTGAGCGTATTTGGAGAGAATCTTTCACGTAGCCATGTGTCACACGGTGTGAGTTCCTGAAACGGCAAATTATTCCCCAAACATTACTTACGGTATATTCGTTTAGTTCTAACAAAAATTATATGATAGTGGCATATATAACCTAAACAACTATCCAAAAAAAATAAAGATATAATGGTCACATATTTTGTCTTGTTTTTCCCTTTATATAATCGACTACAAAGCAATTATTTTGTGTGTCTTTTAACTAATTAGTTCAATCTTCACAAACTTTAAAAACGTTTCGAATTTTGTATCTACTTATCTTCTTCTTCTTCTTCCACATCACTACGAAAACAGTTTTTGCCAAGTTTACTTTACTGTATGATTTTTTATTGGTCACTATTTTCTACAATATGATATTTTTTCACCTTATTTAATCTTTTTTCTTTTTTTTTTTGTTATACTCTTAATACATTTTCTTTTGCCGTCTGGTGTCATAAAATTTGCAGAACCCTAAGAGTCCAACCAACTACATAATACAAGCAAACCGGCCCAAGCCCACAACTACGGCAAAAGATAGAATCTTTTTTTATTTGGGTTATGATTTTCCGTTACTCTTTTATTATTCTAACTAGGTAAAAACATGTGCCATATACACCGATAAATTTTAACTATTTAATAATATTATAGATAATCTTATTCAAAATAAAGTATATAGTATATTAAAAATTTTCATTACGGGTGAAGAATACATAGTGGTTATTGAAGTAAAAAACTAAAAGAGTATTTAAAAAACACGACACGAGCACGTCTTCTTGATCGAAGAACGTCTCGCTTCCGCTAGCAGCCGCCGCCGTGTGCTACAGGTTCCGGCTGGATTAGGGTTTACTTCCATTCCATGTTGTGGTTTCGGAGGAAGAACAAGAAGTGGGCTTGGTCCATCAAACTCATCTGGGGACTATTCTGGCCAATAATTATTTTGGGCTTAAAGCTTAGTTGGACCTGTACAGAGCCTTCCTTGACCTATCCTAAACCATTAAACTCGAATCAGCCTTTCCCTTTTTCCACCAGTAGCTCTGGTTGCAGCCTCCGACTAACTCCACAAATGCCAGCTTTCTATCGTCATGGACATGGAGGGTTGTTTATGTTGGTGATTCGGCTGAACCGCTACCCTCTTATCCATTGATCAGTCCCTCTGACTTCCTCCTGTATGGAAATATCATTCCTGTAAACTTCTTCCTTTGTGAAGAGATCAATTTAAATCATTTTCTTCTTTACGAAGATTTTGATTCCACCATTATCATCTGTTTTGGAAAGATTTATTGTAAGCTCTACTTTGGTTCTAGCCGTACGAGTGGTTATTGACCACCAGTTGGTCTTGGATTTATTGAAAATTGCTTTCAATTCTGAATCCGTCAAGGTTTCTAGAGCTATTTTCTTAGGTATAAGTTTCTCGAAGCTTTGTGGCAACCTATCGAAGAATTCTGCCAGCCTCTATCTTTATATTGTTGTGTCTTTTCGATTATGTATTTATGTTTATATAAGAACCCAATCATTTGAGGATTTAATATAATGTAATGTTTGAACAAAAGAAAATAAAGAAAGAAAAAAACGAGCACTGAAGATTCTTGAGCGTAATATTCGATCTTGTTCTCCTTTAGAAAAAGTAATGAGATTTGTTTTTCACGTTAATCATTTTCTAAATTGATAACGAAATTAATGAATATAATAGTTTTTTTATGTGGCTAAAAAGAACTCAATTATTAATTATTAATATAACTCAATTTAGTCACGTAATTAAGAGTTCGC